ATCTGTAAAGCAAGTCCCGACCAGGTGAAAAAATATTATAATCAAAATGATTTTGAAATCCTTAAAAGTTTCTTGCAGGACTCAAGCGTAAAAGAAGTAGAAGGTCCAGAAGTAACGTCACCCGTTCCACCACCCAAGAAGCAGAGAACTGAAGAGAAACCTAGCCCTTCTACAAGTCATGCGACGGTACCGAAAAGAAGAAATGAAAACGGTCAGACTCCAGCATTTAAGAAATACAAGAAAGCAAAGCCGCCGCGTAAAGAAATTTGGTAAAGAGGAAAACACCACTTACAACGTATCGCAGTAGAAATTCTACATCGAGGAGAACGCTTCCAGGGCCAGAGAGTCAGGTGCAAACAAGGCCGCCGTTCCCGAGAACGAAAAGACAGCAGGAGGAACGAAAAGACCACCACCAACAGAAGAAATTCAAGCACGATTCCAGACCGGAGGACGCCAAGACCAGCCGTCCAGGGGCAAAACGGAAAAGACAGCAACCCGACGACTACCACTCCAAGAGGCCAGCATGCAGAGGGCGAAAAAGAAAAAGCAACGTGGACGACACTCGAAGGACACTAAGGAGACGACTGACGTCGATGAAATCTATAACGTGGGAGCAGTTCTGCCAGAAGAGGATGTCGGAGTTCCAATCATCGAAAACTCAAAGATAAGTTAAAATCTTCTATAAATTTTTTTTCTTTTGTTCCGAAATGTTATGCGTAAATACGAAGTTCTATGTTTTGACGGAAGTCAATGTGTCTCGGTTGAGACTTAGTTTTGTTTTACTTTATTTAGCTAAGGCAAAAGTATTATTTTCTTTAAGTATAAAATCTAAGAACAAGCAGTTTCTGTTGGTCGAAAGACTAATTCTGTTATGTTAAAGCCAAAATTTGGCCGAAGATAAAAATAACTTCGTATTCTTGTATTAATAAGAAATTTAGTTTCAGTGCCGCCAGCTTGGCGAAGAATGAGTAAAGTAAAAATTTATTTTTCTCTTATTCATTTTATGGTAAATTGTAAAAATCATATGTATTAGAATTTTGTAAATATACGTAAATACTTGAAAGTTATGTAAAAGTAGAATTTAGTCTAGAAGCATAAAATTTTAGATGCTAAAAGTAAATGCTCAAAAGCAATGAATTCAAATTTAAGTATTAAACTGTAGATAAAATCATGCTTTAGAGCGAAAGCCTGCATGTCTAAAGATGAATGAGGGGGAATTTAGAATGAATGTGTTTTGTAGGGTTCTCCACCTACACTTGAATTTTAAGAATGTTAAAGTAGCTCATCGAGTTGTAGAATGTCGAGTAAGGTGTGTCTATTTGGTCGTTGAATTCTAACAAATCATTGTGGTTAGGGGAAGTGTTGCAATACTAAAACACGAATATTCCCGTTTGACACCACACATGGTGGAGAGCCAGGGTAAAGTTAAATTCATGTTTGAATACTTGAATGAATGTGAATTAAGCAGTAACTAAGGAAAATAAATCGTTCAAAAACAAAAACTTATTCAGTGTCAAGAAAGTGTAAATTATAATGTATTTAGAAAGATACTGATACTTATTCCTTCCAGATGCTGGAAGGAAGAGAACAGATTGATTGCTGAAGTCCAGGAAAGGTTGCTGTAAGAAGAGAGGGTAAAATAATTATCTACAGAAATTTATTCTACCTTTTGTGAGATAACATTTTTTTATGTAAACGAGGCTCTTAAAATTTTAGATTCAGAATTGTGGAAACTTTCAACAGGTCGTTTCTAGGACCTGCTTCCAAGTTTTCCAAATTCTGGCAGCGGCAAATGTAGGGTTTATATTTATTTTAACTAACATTTATTTTAAGTTTAAACTATCTTTCCTGTCGAGCCTTACCTTCCCCTGGAAATTGCCAATGCCAGAGTATGTAAATTTTAGTAGAACGCGCAAAGGATTCAAATTGTCAGCGGAAGTAATCTGAGTTAAATAGAAGGGAAACGAGTTCGAAGGTGTGCTTTCTTGCTTCACGAGCGTGGAGGTGGCTGGTTAGAAATTGAAGAACCACGCGTTTCGGCCTGTGTGCTTGCCTCGGCAGATAGTTAATCTTTCAACGTAATATTCAGAAGTTTGCTGAATTATCAGCGGTATCTTAGAACGCGGTGAGGTTAGTTACGTTTTAGAGAGCCTCGTAGTTAGTCACTTGTTATTATTCTTTTTAGTTTTTTATTTTTATTTTACCGCCGGGTCGGCGTAGTTTGTGAGCGTCAAGAGCACGCATTTGTAATTTCTAAAGTTGAATAAAAAGGGATTTAAACCCTTCTCAAGAATTTGTCTACTTTCCAGTTCATAGCAGTCACCACTATTGTTGCGTGCAGGTTGGGGCCACGCAATGTTACAACATTACAAATTGTGGAATACATTAAATGAGTTCTGGATTAGTCATAATATTAAATATAATTAAAAACAGCAAAACAAACAAATAGACTATTGTTTCCAGTTTTATTTTTAAAAAAGTAAAATTAATGCATATTTCATTACGTCTTAATATTAGTTTTTAATTCCTGTCCTAACGCAAATGTAAAGAATTTCGTTTCTGTGTTAATCTTTTTACATTCACATGATGTAATTATAATCGGTTTGGATGATATCCGATTAAAGCAAAACATGCGAATAATATTTACCTAAGTGAAGATAAAGTTACGTGGAAGACTTTTCTCAGGAAATTTGGATTATATTTAAGATATATATTGAATAAAGCACGAGACTCTGTACGAAGCCAGCCAGTTCCTCAGAAACTGAACCAGAGAGAAATAAAAGCACCTGAACTTTAAACTAAATAAATGCTTCGTTACCAAGAACAGCGCTGAACATTTAACAACTGTCTAAGACATTTCTCCTACCTTAACGCGTACCTGTAAGGTGTAATTGGAAAGTACGTCCGACTGGTAGCCGGAAGGTCCAGAGTTCGAATCGTGGGGACTGTACTGCACACTTTTCACGTCTCCTGTTCCGAAATGACATACTTAATGGTCTCTGCATATGGCTCCTTAACTAAAAGATGTATACTAACCAGTTTCATTTAGAAATTCCCCCACGAAGACATCCTCCCCTTTAAGCAGATAGCCCTAGTGGGCTTTTCCGTGATAAACGAAACCAAACCAACCTGAATAAAAAGTTTTGGACTATAATTCGTCATCACCAAGATTTGACGAGTGAGTCCTCTTCTCCTCAGTGGCTATTTAAATGGGGGGAAGTATGATATTTTATCCTCCGTACCTCCTGCCTTCATTGTGTAATTGGAAACACGTCTGGCTTGAAATCGAGAGATCCGGAGTTCGAATCTCGGTGAAAGCATTACACAAATTTCACGTCTGCTTCGATAAACCTGTTGACTCTACAACTACAAAAGCATTAATTAGCATTGAGTTTCAAGTATGAACATTTTCAAAACCTATTTAATTATTTTATATTGAAATGAATACCATTATACAGTTGGTTACAACTACTGGATTGAAATTTACTTCAATTTGTAACACCTAACGTAGGTTCAACTTAACTGGCTCAAATACCACCAGCTAAAAGGTGTGTGTCACAAGCAATCTACGAGTGAATTTTCAACACAGAATTATGATAGAACTTTATTCTAGCTCACCACTCGTGAAGGTTATAATAAAAATATACAACATAAGATTACCAGACACCTGGACGTGGCTTAAACACAAGATTATCTGAATTTGTAATAAATTCAAACAATTTAATTTGTTTCTACCAGGCCTACAAGCGTCGTTTGGATAGAAATTCAGGTTTTTAAGATACTAAACTAACTACCAATAACTCTCGACCCTAGAATGTTTAATTCAAGATCAACGTTGGAGTATCCAGTAGACAGCAAGACAACACATACAGCTATGCTTATATACAGCTCAAACTTCACAATTAAATTGCTTGCCACTTTAATCTTCATAAATTCTGGAATGAGCGAACTTCGTGGCGATACGAAGAGACAGGTGAGATGTACGTTTAAATAATATTTTATTATTAACGTAATTATAAATGCTACAAATTATATTATTATAAATATTATAAAAATAATGGCCCGTGTATTCTTTGCAGAGATTATCTGCTTCAAGCTAGGCATAAGACAGTTCCTATAAATAATATTATCAAACAAAATGGTAACAAAGTAACTGTGCCAGTAAAAAATAGAAACAGCCAAATAATTGGGTTTAAAGGCATATTAAGCAGTCTTTGGCATATTAAACATCCCTAAATGATCGAAACCTAATGTCAGCACAAAATGCAATGACAGAATGTTTCCTTTTACGATGGAAGTTTTTTAATAGTCTATTAATTTTTGTCAATATTATCGTGTGTAGAAATTCTTGTTTCGCTTCTGTATAAAGATTTCTTTTGATTCTATAAGATTCTATAATTGTAAGCTAGGAAACCGGTTTCAGTACCTTTCTTCTACAAAATAAGCTATAGTCAAATATAAATGTCTTAAACTTTGTCCCAAACTTAATGGTGGTAAAAAAAAAAAATACTCTTCTTCCAATGTATTAGGCAACAGATAATTATCAACACGGTTTGTTTTCCTTAATTTTCAAAAATAAAAACTTCGGATATTACCATACTCAGATTAATACTGAAATATAAGATGCGTGATGCTTTCATTACAGTGGATACAGTTGAGAGCAAGGAAGTTAATCATTCAAGTAGGTATCACTCTCTTAAGGAAATAGTTTTCAAAAATTAATTAGAAGTAGTTATTTATTAACCGTGTGAATTCAGTTCTTAGCCAATACATTAGCTGTGTGTGATTTTTATGGTTCTCACTATTTTGTGTAGCAGTAATAAAAAACAAGGTTTTTCAGAAATTCCACGAAAGCATCCTATTCAAGCCTTATGCTATAAATGAATAAATTAATAAAATATGTTTAAAGGGAATGTGAAATTTCTATTAAATCTTGTAACATAAAATATATTTGTTCCGCTGATTGTAAATGAATGCTGACATAAGCTTTTCTATTTCAGTATTCTTCGTACATGCGAATAAAAAATTTACATTTTATTAATACGCCTGGCCTCTTGTACACACTTTACAGATGTCTTTTCCCAATGATGTTGGAAAAATACAAAGACCGTGTAAGTTATACATAAATTTTTTCATGTAATTCTGTACATTTATTTTCAATACCATTTCAACTCAAAAAATGAGTAGCATAGAAAATACAGCTTCTTTGCGGACTAGAAAATTTCTTGTCTTCTATACCTAATACATTAAGTTTAATAATATTATTATGCAACAATTAAAAAGATTTGAAAGAATTAATTCGAGGAATTAATCATTCATCATTAACCCAACAAATATGATAGATGCAACAAATGTACCTTCTTTCATCTCTTTCAAACTTAAATGTAAAAATTTGCTGAATAAGTATGAGAATGCCGGATCATTTTTCTCGAACGTCTTTACACCATTCTTTATCAGATCAAATTTTATAGGAAATGGGGCAGCAGTAATATCAGAAAAGATCAAGAAAAGAGTGGAAGTAACACTTCCAGCTATAATGCTTTCACCAAATGTAACGGATGTATATAGAGGCCAATCCTTATTTTTGTAAACAAATATCTGGCACCACGACTGTCCTACTCACACAAGAAACAATAGTTTTTTTTTTTTTTTTTTTTTTTTTTTTTTTTGGTAATCCAGCAAAATTTTAATGACTTCAACAGGTATTCAAGAAAGAACATTACCGTTATGCAAGAAAGATGTTTTCGAACAGAAAACTGATTAACTCTTTCGCATCGATAGAGGTCAAAACCTATCCCCATAAACATCTAAAACGTCCATGCATACGAAGTTCTGTTGAAATGGATTTCTTTTCCCTCTGCTAAGAAGAATGCTACGGAGTTAATAACTTACTTAAGTGAAGTGAATACTTCTGTCTTGGAGATCCCTGTGTGGTTTCCCCGACTGTGTGCAGTTTTTCTTTACCATAGGATTGCATGTGCGAGCACAAATAGCTAAACTTTAGAGCTAAACAAAAGGTCGCTTCAAAAGGATGATTGTAACAACTCGCGAAACCGATGAGCCATACTCTAACGTGATGGAGGAAAGTACGACATAGGAAATGAGTTTAAGCGTTCAGGTCACCTGCCAATGCCTGAATGCTCAAAAATTACTTGCGATTTTGTGGTGAAAGAGTTAAAAATGTGTACACGGGGGTTACGTGGAATCATCTGTCTGAGAGTAGATCCATCAAAGTGAACATTTTTCTTCAGGAATAACAGTCTGTTATATGATCAGTGTGTTTGTTCACACATTCGAAATGCACTCAGAAATTAATATGATCCCTCCTCCCATATACCCGTGCATGAAGGGTAGAGGAATAGGTTACAGCCGAAAACATCGCGGCAAAAACATCGCGGACGAAAACGTCGCGGAGAAAACAACACAAGGCGGAAACGTCGTGATACAAAACATCGTGGGAGAAAACAGCGAAAAGAGAAAACATCGCAGTTCTAAAACATCGTGATACAAAATATCGTCGTCCAAAATAAAGCGGTTCAAAAATTTCGCAGTTTAAAAACATCGTCGTCGAAAATATCGCGGTAAAAAATAAAGTATCTGCAAATCATCGCATGGCGATAATATCGCAGACATACCTTTTTTCAGGCTTTAATAATTGTAAATGGATATTCCCATAATGATTTGTGATCGCAAGATGGAAAAAAGGATAATCTTTACTTTCATATTTTTTATTAATTAATAAATTTTTGCTGAAAAAGTAAGAAGGAAATTTAAGCATAGAAAATTAAGGCAACTTATACCGCTTAATAGAATTTTAAATTGACATAGTTAACTAACAAAGGTCATTAATAAATCATTTTTTATAAAGTTTTTACTGGTAATTTTTCATTAAAAGTATAATCTAAAAATGTTTAGAAAAAGGAAGCTACGTAACTGCATGGTCTTTATCTATGAAAAACTGCTAAGCTTAATTATGAGATTATTTTCCTCACTTTTGTCAATCTAATACTCTTATAATGAAAATTATTTCTTGTTAACAAGAAATAATTTTCATTGTTATGAAGCAGATCATGATCAATGAAGATCATGATCAGAATGATCATTGATCAATGAAGCAGAATTCTGCTTCAGTTTATTCTTAAGTTTCCTTCCTACTTTTTCAGCAAAAATTTATTAGTGAATAAAAAATATGAAAGTAAAAATTATCTTTCTTTCCATCTCGCGCTCACAAATCGTTATGGAAATATCCATTTACAATTATTAAAGCCTGAAAAAAGCAGGTCTGCGATATTACCGTCCTGCGATGATTTGTCGATACTTTATTTTTTACCGCGATATTTTCGACGACGATGTTTTTAAACTGCAAAGTTTTTTCAACCGCTTTATTTTCGACGACGATGTTTTTAAACTGCAAAGTGTTTTCAACCGCTTTAATTTTCGACGGCGATATTTCGTACCACGATGTTTTAGAACTGAGATTTAGAACATTTTCTCTTTGCTTTCTTTTCTCCCATGATGTTTTGTATCACGACGTTTTCGCCTTGCTTTGTTTTCTCCGCGACGTTTTCGTCCGCGATGTTATCGGCGGACACCAGAGAAATAAGAGGTGCTTACCACATGAAGCTAAATTAAATTAGGTTATTTAAGTGCGCCAAAGCCCACGAGCGCTATCTGACTAAGGCATACCTTTGCGTAAGAACTTCTGGCGAAAACAGACTAGTAGTCACATTACACATGAGAAAAGTCACGAAAGCCAACAATACAGCCAGGCCATTCGCCTGGCTTCGAACCCGGATTGAACTATCACTATTCATCTGCCTTAATCATTCGACCATTTGTGAAAAGCCAAGTGAGAACTCAAAGTCAGTTTTGATCTCCTGCTTCGCGTTCCAAATACAATAAGTAAGTTTTTCTTGTTTCAAGTGTATTTGGCACATTTTCTGGAATTATACGTGATTTCCAGGCATATGCAACAAATACTGTTTGGCATATTCGCACATGTATGCACGTTGAGTTTTCTAGCAACATATAAGTTTTAACAAATATATGGCGCAAAATCCTACTCAAACGTAAAAATTCAAGTAACACAAAGTTTTTTAGACGAAACAAACGTTCAATTGAATGGGACTGATGGAATAACCTGCCAGAGAACAAAGAACGATATAATGGAACGATATAAGGCTGCCAAACAGTCACGAAAGTTGATGTTACGGAATAACATGCCTTTTATAGTGTTTGTTTAACGCCTTATTTGAAGGGTGACTATTGTTGAATTTTCAGTCAAATAGTTCTGAATTTCGACAAAATATTACTGAATTTTTTATGCTGGACAGCAGTAAAAAATTTCATTAATCTACTGAAGATTTCAAGACAGTAAAAGTACATAGCCCATACGGTTTTATTTTTAATTTCAATAAATAACTAGGCTTCAGTGCGCCACGCTGCAAAGGTTTTGCTCTTTGCGCTCTTTGTGTCTTTTTAAAGTTTTCCATACTTCAATACAAAGTGTGTGCACTTCATATAGCCGCATTTCTCCTCGCGGCTAGAAATGCTTGGACGCTTTTTAGGCTCCTAATTAATATTACCTTTAATTATCCTATCAAAGAATTATATTGAGCATATTTCACCGAAAGTCGCTATATTATTGTGACATTCTGAAACGCTCACTTATATTTCCTTCAGTCAGGTTGTGGTAGATAAGGACCTGCCTCCTGTTCTGTTATACCGGAACGAGAGCCATTTGAACTTTTTCAATGTTTTTCCTGATCAGCACCGAAAAATTAATAAAATTGGGCCCTTTCACTTATGTAACAAAATGTGTATAGAATAGTGTTTTTAGCTTTCTCCGTAATAAGGGAATAATTTATTGTTATTTAAAATGTTAGAACACTTACTTCTGACTCGTAAGCTGGATAGTTGGCTTCAAAAATTAAGCTAACAGTGCTGTTCTAACTTGCTGTAATGGTGCCAGGAGGTCTTTCCTCAAAAGAAACGAACCGAATAGAATTGTAATTTCCTTATTAATCTGTTGCATCTTAATTTAGGAAGAAGAAAACTAAACTGAAGATTTTTACATGCATGTTATATAAATATTTCCTGTTTTTAAAGTACTGGTAAACTTATTTGATTCAGAGTAGATGTTTCTCATATCTAAACTAAATAATATTTTTGTTTCAGACTGTAGCCCATTTGAATGATGATAACTGGGAAAGTTTCCACTCATATTTTCCTCCTGAAATTCTTCCTGAAGAATATGGAGGACAATTAAAATCCTCCGATATGGTCAATTTGAATGATATACTTAATGAGAAGGAAGAGGTTTTTCACGACCGTCTGCAGTATCGCATCTTAGAAAGTACATTCGTAGTTGAAGAAGTTGATGCCTAACATTGCTAAATAAGTTTGAATCTAGAAGTATAGGGATACATCATCAAGTCTGATAATAAAGCATTACCAAAGCTGCCAGAAGTATCGAAATATGGAGATAAAAACAATATGGTAACTTAAAGATATTGTCACCTGAAAGCAAAGATATAACATCAAATTTTATACAAAATTATAATATCTGTAACAGATTATACAATATATTCATTACATTTTTTTAACTATTGTCGTCACTAAATACGTATATAAATAACAGTGATAGATGAATCATTTTTATTAAGTAAAGGAAGATGTTCTTTACTCAAAAACACTTGCCAGAATCTTAGAGTTAATGCATACAAAATTCTAAAAATTTTCTAATTTAATGTCATATTTTCATGTCCCAGATGTGTAAATAATTTAATAATATGGATATAAACTTCAGCATCACAATTTTTATGTAAGTGACACAAAAGTATAGTTCATGCAAGTATTCAAACTTTGCAAATACAGTAAAACCCCGCTTATTGCATGGGGATACGTTCCACCAATGTACAGGGTTATACGAAATAGCGTTAAATGAGGTCATCTCATCATGTAAGTAATGGGGTCAGGGGAAAACGGGTATAAAATAAAAAGTAATTGTTCAAGAATTTTGTTATTTAAGTTCATTAAATATGTTTTTATAACAATGCAAAATAAAAACTTATTTCTTACAGATTTTGAAACATAATAAATCTATAGAAATAAATTAAGTCACCATTTATATTTTAGATTATTCAGATTTTTCCTGCATTTCCAATTTTTTTTTTTTAATTCAAGAAGGTATCTAATGTCATTTGCATTTTCTTTTGCACTCCATAAGAATTTGTAGATAAGGGGACAAAGCATCCAAGACAGCCTGTTTTGCCTTTGAATTCCTATCAAAATCTGCGCCATTGTCAATAAATAAGTCCACAATTTCCGTTATGGAAGCTAAACTGGAATTTAGAAATGCCGTTGAAAGTTCTTCTTGCTCTGCTTCAGAATCGGTATTTTTAATATTTTTGTGTTCTTCTTAATCTAATTCCTTGAACTCATCATTAGGAAAATTTTCTGCTGTTTCTTACCAAATTTCTTCGAGATCTTCCACATTTACTTCATCTAAACCTGTTTGTTTCGCTAATTCCAATATTTCGTTCGTATCGATTTCCTTGTTTAAAATATGGCCAAATGTTTTTTCACACTCCTTTCGAATATTTTTCTGATACTACAACTCAAGAAAGATTTTGTTTTCTATAGCATGCACGATATTATAATCCTCCAAAAATCTCTTATTGATTGTTTATCATCTTAGTCTGTTTTTTCAAACATTTGTCTAAATGTTCGCTGCAGGTAATAAACTTTAAAATTTGATATATAACACGTTGGTCCCTCGGTTGGATTAATGCAGTTGTTTTAGGCGGCAAAAAACCACTTCGGCTGGAATGCATGCTATCAAGTCAGATAAAGTCGTTGGGCGGTTTGGAGCATTATTCATTAGAAGTAGTGCTTTTGGTTCAAGCATTTTGATTTCGCAATATCGTTTAACAGATGGGCAAAAATGTTCAGTGAACCAATTCTGGAAAATTCTCATAGTTATCCATGATTTTTATTGGACTCTCAAATTACAGGTAAAGTTGAGTTTGATATTCGTTTCATCGATCTTGGGTTTTTGGAATGATAAACAAGAAGTAGCTTGATTTGAAGCCTTCAATGGCGTTAGCACCCAAGAGAACTGTTAAGCTATCTCTCTCAGGTCTAAATCCTGGTGCACGTTTTCTTCAGGGGATGGAAATGTATGTATCGGCATTCTTTCCCAAAATAGGCCCGTTTCATCGATATTAAAAACTAATTCTGGAGGTTAGTTTCTTCGTTCAATTATTGTTCTTAATGTCGCTGGGAATTCAGCCGCCGCTTTTATATCCTCACTTGCTGCTTCTCCTGTAATACACTGACTACCAATAAGTATTTGGACACCTGTGATAGAAAAGAAAAACTAACTTTATTCAAAATCAATAGTTGGTAGAGCCTCCACGAGAGGTAATTACAGCGTGGACCTTCCGGGCCATACTTTCCACAAGTCTTTGTATGACAGTAGTGGTATTTTCTTCCACTCGGCTTGGAGAAGACATAGAAGTTCCTTCACCGATTTTGCACGGGTAGTGCACCCCTGAATTCGGCGATGCAACTCGTCCCAGAGGTTCTCGATAAGGTTAAGGTCTGGACTCTGGGCAGGCCAGTCCATTCGAGGAACTCCATTGGCACTATACCAAGCCCTGGTTAACGTCGAAACATGACAACTGGCATTGTCGTCCTGAAAGTAACAGGGGTCCGACCCGTAAAACTGCCACATTGTCATCCAAAATAGTGCAGTAGGCATCGGAGTTGAGCTTACCATGAATGGGGAGCAAGGGTCCTAGCCCATACCAGGAGAAACACCCCCAGACCATAATTCCACCTCCGCCGAACTTGACTGTTGGCCCAATGCATTCTGGCAGGAGACGTTCTCCAGGTAGAAGCCTGACCCAGACCCTGCCATCCGAACGGTAAAGGGTGAACCTTGATTCGTCACTCCAAAGAACCCGTTTCCACTGATCTACGGTCCAATTTCGATGTGCTTTGCACCACATTAACCGAGCAGCGCGGTTGGATCAAAGGCTTATGAGCCGCAGCACGACCATGAAAACCAAGCAGATGTGCTTCCTTACGGATGGTATTCATTGAAACAATACTCCCGGATGCCTGTTGAAACTCCTCGCGGATGAGGGCCATCGGTTGGGTGCGGTTCTTCCGAATTTCTCTGGACACCACTCGTCGGTCTCTATCTCCCAGTTTCGTTGGTCTGCCGACTCGGGCACATTCCGACAATCACCGCTCACCTTCCACTTCTTAATCACATAGGCCACTGTCGATTTTGGGTACTTCAGATCGCTAGATATGTGCCTTAAGGATCGGCCACATTTGTGATACCCGATAATTATACCTTTCTCGAAATCAGAGAGCTCCGAACTGCGAGGCATCTTGCATGCGACTAAAGCCGATGCGGTTTCCTATACGATATATATCGGCGGAGTCCGTGACGTACCTTAGGACCGCAGATATCGTCATTTGCATAGGTTTCCAAATACTTATTGGTAGTCAGTGTATATGGGCCTGTTGGAAGTCGGGTTTTGCTTGAGTCTGCGCGCAAAAGCCCAAAAGGAGCTATTCGGCTCTTTGAAATCAAGAATTTTATTTTCCCAGGTTTCCTTTCTGTGCTGAATTATAGCTCTCTTGATTTCTCTATTTAGCCTGTTTAATGAATTCTTAAGGTCTGAGGCCCAAGTGAGATATATTAGTCAATTAAAATATCGCAAACGGAAAATAGAACTGATTAGCACTTCGATGATTTCCACTTTCTCAGTGCTCTGGTCCTCAATACATTGAATAACACGAAAGAGATAGCTACTATACTTGTGATGCAATAATTTACCCAGTTTTGATAATCGCCGATGTTATTACAATGGAGTAACTGTTAAAAGTTAAAAGAAATTTCTTATTTACGTCAGTTTAAGTTCATTAAACTATTCAAATTTACTAAACTTCTAGCTTTAAAAATGTGCCAAAGGATGGAACATAATATTTCATTTATTATTTGTAGAATCTATTATGCAAAATATAAAAAATAATAACAAACATTTATCTCACGATTAAATACATTTTCCCATTTATAGTAAACCAAACAGGAATGATTTGAAGCAGGTTATTCATTATTGCTGTTTTTTTTAGAAACTGAAATTAGGCACATCTAATAATGGAAAATATGTTATGTTTCAAAAGATGTTAGTTTCCTTATTTATCTGTTGCTTACCTTTTAAATCGATTATTACTACTGTTATGCTTTTGTCATTCAAAACTTTCAAGGTTCAATGCAAACTAATAATACCACAAATTCGTTTGATTCTTATTTAAAATTATCGCAAAATCACGTTAATTGCTGATAAAATCAAGTTATTGTCGCATTAAAGTATTCGCTCAGCTAGAAAGCAATTTTTATGATTTTTAGAAAGCAATTTTTATGATTTTTTTTTTTTCAGAATTTCGTATCAGATTTCTTGACAACTGCATTGCAATCATAAGGCTTTGGTTTGAAAAAGTTTATCTTTGCAAATATTTTAAAATGATATCTAAGAATGTAGGTTAACAAAATTAAGGAAATAATGAATGAGATACATTCCGATGACCTCATTAATCACGTTACTTATGTATATCTTTTGTAAACAAACAATGCAGATGACCTCAGAGAGCACGTGACTTATGTACAGCTAATGCAAACAAGCAAGGTCATTCTTCCTCTTCTTCTGTTGCGGAATGTATCTCATTAGAGGTAAATACTGATGCAAATAAATTCATTTATTATTATTGATGCATTTATTATTATTATTATTATTATTATTATTATTATATTATTGATTCAAATAAATGCATTTATTATTCAGATTTCAACAGCAGTAGAGAGAAAAGTAAATTAAAAATTATATGTGTCTCATGTTCTCGGAGAGCAACGATCATACCAAAATAGGACTGTAGACTGAAACTAAGTTGGAAAAAATTTTGAATACTTTTAATTAAGGTTGTTTTTTTAAAAAGAATATGAAAAGTTTAGAAAGATTTCACATTGATTTATTATGGCAAATTTGAAATCATGGTTCTCAACGAGAATTTCAGGATTATGTTTATCATTCTTAGAATTCCTTAATAATTTATTTAATTTTAACTTCGATTTTTATTTAAATTACTGACCAGTGGCTTGCGTAAATACTCACGTTTAATTTATGACAATTGATTTCTTATAGCCATTGATGTAAACATTCATGCCATCATTTCGAATCTGCGTTTTTTCAAACAATAACTTAAAAAGAGATAAATTTATGATAATGACATTTTTTCGACCCTAGAAAAATGAAAAATAAACTTTCTTTTAAATCAGTGGCTCTGTAACTGATCTAAAAGAAAATAATATGGTTTCTCCATGGGTATAGGTACCCCTGGAGGTGTGTAGAAGTATTTCCAGACAAGCGAGATAAGTTTTTAAATTTTCTACGGAAACTATTGCCTGACTGCTTTCAAGGAAATAGCAGATGTTACGTCAACATTCCGAAGGGTATTTTTGATATTTCACGAACAGCATGCTGCCGAGCACCAAATTTTTTAAAAATTGTTAATGAAGGAAAATTTGAATTACATTTATTCGAAAGTTGGCTATAGTATTTTTCTATTAGTATATGTTAAATATCATGTAACATGTAAAATAATTATAAATTCACCAAATTTAAGGTCGTATTTCAATTCTGCTTAATTTATGTAGATCTTACTTTCAAGTAAATAAATTCTATTAATAAATTATTAATTCATCTTTGTGTTGGATGAAGCCTGAATACTGGTGTAGTTAACCCTGATATTGGTAAATCAGCAACTCCCCCTCACCCACAATCTTTTAAGTTTCACTTATTATGTTACGAATACTGCTGGTATTTATACATAGGAAAAATTTACGAAAACGTTTATTTTCAATCTCAACGGAAAAAAAAAAAAAAAAAAATGAGAACATGGTACTTAACTACCGTATTCGCCGGCGTATAAGACGCACCCCCTTTTTTATACACATTTTTGAAGGATAAAACTTTATTACTGATCATTTAGTGAATTTACAGTTTTTA